TGTTCTTAGCCGCTATCCATGCCACACCGTTTGGGCCAAGGCTCAAACGACCAAAAATTTCCCTCCTCTTTTATTTTTCACTATTTTTTTCACCTCTTGTACTATCTAAGCACATTCATAAATACAGGGTTAACACTATTTTTTTCTAGTCAATGATAAACAGTATAACAATACACGCATATATTATATTTAATATAAATAAAATATATTTTTTTACAATCAATAATCATTGATAATTACTTACCTATTTATTAATATTTATTAATAAAATGAAAGACACTGCAATTAAAGATAGGTGTCAACATTTTCACAAATCAATTATCATACAACTCTGCATCTCTTAAGGTGAGTTGGTATAATTAGGATTTATAAATACTTTGAGTGATTAAATAAACAAGAAAGATTCCTGTAAATCACAATTTTCTCATACTCAACATTTCATTCTTGATGTTATACTTTTTCTCATTTCTGTCTTCTTTGTTCTATAAGAAACTTATGTTTTTAAGATAATTAAGCCCAAACACCAAACCTATATGTCTTGGTCAAGGATAACAACCTATAAAAAACCTAATTTATTTGTAAATTTTTCATGACTTTATCAATGGTGTTGTTTATGAAAAAGTAAACAAAAAACCACTTCATCACTTTTTACACACATAAAAAAAACTATTTTAATGTCTAACGAAACTCCAGGACAATAAAGAGTAATTGACACCCTATCACAAAGACTCTAACTCTCTTACATCTCTAATAACTCACCTACAAAGTGCAAGTGCTCAATAATATTATGTTGTCTATACAAGAATAACTTCACACTCTTTTGTTCCATTAATAAAACATTCAACATATAACTCTATTGTGTGCATTGAATACAAAGAGAAAACTTTAGTTTCATGAAGGAACAAAATAAAATGACATGCAACAAAGAGAAAACTTTAGTTTCATGAAGGAATTCAATAATAGTATGCATGATACTCCTACTCTCTGAATGAGTCGTTTTGTTTATGAAGAAAACTCTACATATCCTAGTCAAAAGTATGACTATCTGTATTAATTCTCGTCTTACTCTCATTTGTACACTTTCTAATAAAAAAGCTTAGACGCAAGATGAAACTAGCTTTTAAGAATGAACCCTAATCCAATCATCTAGGAGATTCTCCATTTTATCATATAGTGTTACACACTCATCTCTTTAAAGAATGTGCCATTATAAAATTATTTGGGATAACTATGACAACTTTACATATTTTAGAGAGCATATATAGAATGTTAAAAGCATTCTAGAATAGTGACAATAAAAAATAATTTCATGTGCAGGATTTTCCTGTAAATTTTCATGGATATGCTAGATTAAGGTATCACAATCTTGATTAAGGGTCCATCTTATGTCTTCATGATCTCTACATGAATCTCATTTCTTGTTTTAGCACAAATATTTTAACTAAAAAGAGCACAATATAGCTTTTTATCATCATCCAATAAGAAAATAAAAACACCAGAGTATATCTCTAAATATTTAATGAGAAAATATTCAACATAAAAAATATGCTTGAACTAATTACCACTAATACCCTGATTGGTAGAGTTTACAACTGCTCATTATGGGAATGACAATATACACTACCTAACAATACTTTTATTGGAGTTAAATACACAGTGGAAAATTGTATTAAGGTGGAATAAGTCAGCATGTCTAATAAGTTGCCTACACTTTCACTAAACAAAGTTTCCCCAACATCATTGATCTCTAATCAAAGCATCTAAAAAGAGTATCAAGATCTTTAACCAAAACATCTAAAAAGAGTACCAAGAAACACATTCAAGATCGCTTTATATTTCATAAACTTCTGACCGTTTATCTAATTACCACACAGACTAAGGTGCTATTTATTATCAATAAGAAATAATTTATGTAATGTCACCTATTTATGAAAAGTGGAACATACATGAGAAATTCTAATATGTTTTGTCTTTTTCACTGTGATTATAGGCATGATAATGAGGATTGCCACGCCTTGAAAAAAAGATAGAAAGATTGATTACAAAAGGTTACTTTCACTATTTCATGAAAAAAAAACCCCGAGTATAAAATAAAATAAGTCTACATAATTGATGATTTGTCTAAAATTAAATGATCCACAAATAAGCTCCATGAATCTTATCTCCATCTTCTGAACTTTGTAATAAAAGCAATAATTATTTTTCATATCTATAATATATTCAGAAAAAATATCTATTAAAATCTTCAAACATGTCTATGGGAAAATCTTTACGGTGAGATCTTTATGTCACTAAACGTATCTTCATTGAATTTTCATACGTGTCTCTAATGTCTCTAAATGATCATAATCCTTTTCAGGTCCTAATAACCGTTTTTTTATAGGTCCTCATGACAACTTGTCTTCTATATAATTGAGGATCCTGCTCTAATCTTTGTGACTACTCATATAATATTTTTTTATCTAAAACGCATTATGAAATACATACATAGACCACATTTACTTTTACACTAATTTTTTGTTACTCTACTTCTCTTCATAAACAACATTATTAAATTATTCTCTCATACAGAAATATTGACGAAAAAATTATACGATAAAAACTTTTATGCGGATACCTTGCAAAACATAAAAGACTAACATTTAGATGCTTAACTATGGTAACAATCTTATATTCATAACATGTAAAAAATTAGTAGTTTCTTATCCTATTTTTTCTAATTAAGTCTATCAAATACTTTTGTTTAAAACATTTTTTTTAGAAGGGTAAATGATGCTATGTATTTTTTATAATAAAATAAAATATGAGCATTTTGTTTGGGATAAAACCTAAACAGAAAGCCAACACAATGCTATTTTTTTTTAAAATAGCTCCAATAACATGGCATCATAAAATAACTCCTTTTGGGCCATGCTTAAAAGGAATGACCACCAACCACCCAACGCTTGTGGTCATCACTCTACTTGATACCATTTTACATCATACATGGCCACCACCCCTATGTCGTTCATGACCACTAACCATGCCACATCATTTGGGGTCAATACCACTCTGTTTAGGTATGATCAAAATAAAATAGCATTATAATGTAATTTTTTTTTTGCCATGCTTAAATGGAGTGGCCATTAGCCACCTCATAGGTGTGGTCACCACACATTACCCCACATATATAATCATCACATGTCATCCATAGACACCCCATACTATGGTCACCATGTTATATTATTTATGGCTTCTAACCAAACCTCACTGTTTGGGCTAAGATCCAAATAACCAAATCATTTTTTTTTATGTTACGTATGCTATCAATTACGCATATATCTATTTTTTTTTTTAGAGTTAGAAGATCACTTCATAGCTACTAACCATATCACACTGTTTGCTTTCAAACATTTTCTAACTTAAACATTAGAAAATCCCTTATGGATTTTTTCAAGATAATCAAACCCAAAACACGAAGCTCTTATTCAAAGCTCCACACATCTTGGCTTGGGATCATGGCTTATGGAAAACTTAATTTAAGTGTGCAATTTTTATATGATTTCATTATTTATCAAGTAACAAGTCTTTATAAGTATAATGAACACATATATTTTCACTTTCTCATTGTAACAAATAATATCTGGTTTGTGGGCTACTTTAACATCTGATTGTTATATATAGTCGCTACATGCTTCGAAATAATGCATTTTATCTCTTAAATTTCATATGTATTACAAATCCTTTGTGTTAGGATAGTGTAAAAGCAACATACTGAGTTCTCAACCACGTCAGGCATCATTATACTTTTTATACTAAAAAAATCAGGGTGTAACACACCTTCTTCAATATTCATCTGAATAATGGAGGAAGCTGATTTTTCATTTTTTTTCTTCATTTTACCTCATTTTTTTTAATAACCTTTTTTTTCCTTTCATTTTTGTTATTTTTTTCTTAATTTCATCCTTCAGCACTTACTTGATTTTGAATTTGTCTTTATAAATTATTATGGTTTTTTTATGAATTTATTATAGTTTTAAACAAATATCTTGATTTTTAGTTTGTGCTTGGTTTTATAAGCGTCTAATTTTTTTTCTCGTATAATTAAGTAAAAAATATTTTTTTAAAAACAAAGTTCTTAAACGTAGTGGAATCCATCACTCGAATCACATATTTAATGGGTTAAGTAGCGAAACCAAGATTGATTTAATATGTTGTTGTTTCAAAATTAAAAAGGATCATTTTAATTTTTGTTTTAAGTTGACTGAGTTACGTCAGAATATTAAAAAGGATCATTTTAATTTTTGTTTTAAGTTGACTGACATACATCAGAATAAATTTTACATAATTTAATTTTATGCTCATATTATATAAAAAGTTAAGTAATTAAATTTAAAAATTAATTTGTTAGATTAAATTTAATAATAATATCAAATATTTTTTTATAATCTAAACACTTCTTTTTATATAAAAAATTTAATTTGAGAAAGTGTACTCATCACTGCCATCAATGCTAGGGGAGTTGAATACGAGTGGGATCCAGCTTAAAGAACGCATATAATATCAGAAAGAAGGGCATGACATTTCCTCCTTTGCTCAGCTTATAAAAGAGGAAAAAAAAAAAAACATCATAAAAGGAATAAAGTGGACCCGGGAATCAAAAACTGCTAGGAAACCATCCATGGACCAGGCCTTGTAGGGCTTCCTACAATCGTACAATTACTTTAGACCTTAGCCGCAACTTGTAAGAATTTTAAACCCTTGGGCCTTTCTTATTATGGACACCCTGTTGGATCCGGCATTGCTAAAGGCTCTTCCCCAGCATTATGGCCCAAATGGCAAGGCCTTGATACATGCCATTAAGAAAAAGAATAAGGACCCCAAAGAATAAGGACTCTTGTTTTTGAGGTTAGAGAGTTTTTGTAAAATTTAATTGATTTTTTTATATTAATATTAAAAATAAATTTTAAAAATAAAAGTAATATTTCGAGTTAAAAAATATTCTAAAAGACAGCAGAGAGAAAACTGCCGGGAAAACAGTTGGCTGAAGCCCGTTGTCACAGCCAACGCGAACGGGTGTAGCAATTCCTGCGTTTGCAAACCACAGAAGAAACACACAAGTCATGTAATCTTTTGGATCCATACATTCCTCTAGTTTCTCGAAAAATAAGGTTGTTACACTCTTACTGTCTCTAGGTAATTTCCACTTTCGTTTTTTTTCTCATCTGCATCGCATTGTCTTAGGCCGATTTTTGTCTAATTACCTTTTCGAATTTGTGCGGTCTAAATGCTTTGTATATTTATGGAGATGGTTGCCTAGCTCACTTGATTTTTCTTTTTGAAAACAGCGTAGGATATCGTAATTTCAAATTAATTAATTTGCAGCAATGTCAAGGAGATCATCAAAACATTCTCGGCGATATGGAGAGAGTGGAGGGATAGGTGCTCTTTTTGGCTTCAATTCCCAGCCACATTCTTCCCCATATTTGCCCATTGCACCTATTCTCCTGGTACTTGTTCATTTTGGCTTTAAGAAAAAGATAAAAAATCGAATCTGTGTATATTTATTCAATGTTGTTGGATTGAAATGGATTAGACACGGCGTAAGGATCAGTGGACTCTGATTTATTATTTCTATTTTCGATGGAGAATTTTCAGGGAGCAGTCTTTCTTTTTGCTTATTTATACAGCAGTCCAGGTTGGTACCCCGTTAAACCCATGAGTAATATCTTATTGATCTCGCCAATACTTCCTCTGCCGCGTCTTCATTTCTGTCACTTCAAAAATTCTTGCTGCATGTTACCATTTCATAATGTGGCTTACCTGCAAAGGAGGCAGGGTGAATTAGCCAATTGCAACTTTTCATCATATACATTCACAGATTCCACAACTTTTATCTGGTTATCATTTGACTGTCTTTTATTCGCATGGTAGGACAATTTGGCGGCAACAAACAGGCTTTTAACAGGGTTCAAGGTAAAGTTGGCTGACTGAATTTTCAGAGCTTTGGTTCACTGTAGTTTAATGTTGTGTAACAATATGATGGCGATTTCTTTTACACTGTCATCCTCAGAAGGCATCGTGTGACATTTGATATCAATACTTTCCACTAATTGCCTTGCAAATTTTACTTTTTGCTTGTCAAAATTCATTAGAGTGGTCATTTCGAGCATCAACATTTAAACTATCTAGTCCTTTTTATTTTTTCAATTTCATTTGAATGGACTTTGCTGATCATGAATAGAGACCACTGGAGATTTAAATGCCAAGAATCCTGTTTTCACAATGGTTACTGTTATCGTTGTATGTCCTTTTTTTAATACCCAAGTTACCTTCGATTTCAAGGGTATGAACTCTTTTCTGCTTATGCAGGTGATTTTTCATGCACTGTTGAGGTTCAAGAAGCAATCCCAATTTTGAAGAAGGCTTATGGAGATAGCACGCACAAAGTTTTGCATATGGGCCCCAATACTTGTTCTGTGGTTTCTCACTTGCTAAAAGAAGAGGAGACTGAAGCCTGGGGTGTCGAACCATATGACATAGAGGACGCTGATGGTAACTGCAAGGCACTTGTGAGGAGGGGTATCGTGCGCGTTGCTGATATCAAGTTTCCTCTTCCTTACAGACCAAAATCATTCTCTCTTGTAATTGTGTCAGATGCTGTGGATTACTTGTCACCTAGATACCTCAACAAGACAATTCCAGATCTGGCTAGGGTATCAGCTGATGGTCTTGTAATATTTACAGGTAAAAGGAGCTCCTGCTATCTAATATACTAGAAATTTTCATGCGCACTTTTTGATCTCAGATTTTGTTTGTTGGGTGCTGTTTTTAAAATTATCAAATTCTCATGAAATAGGTTGATATTCTTCACTAGGTTAGATCAACTGATGATTTTTTTTCCATTTATGAACTATATGTAGAAGCTATACCAATCAACACCTACAAAAAAAATTGAAGTCTTTTTTTTTGCGAGTCCTTGAAATTGGATTTTTTTGGAAGTTCTGTGTTTATATTTGCTCCCTTAAAAACCATGACCAGGATCAGCTTAACAGTTCTTAATGTTGGAGAAAGACACACTCTAAAAAATGGTGCTGGAGAAAGGAGTAAGTTGTGATTTTTGTTCCCAGAATTGGTGATGGGATATAAATTTATTATGGCAAGAGATTGTTACAGATAGCAGTCATTTTGCTAGATGAACTCGGCTCAACTCATACTTTTTTGCTAGATGATCTCAGCTCAACTCATACTTTTTCTTTCGGATGAATATAAATAACGTATTGAATTAAAAATTAGAAATACAGATACAATCAAAGTCGATAAGGTGTGGCTGTAAATGCATCAAGTCTGATATCAAACAGCCCAACAAAGAAAGCTAGAAACAAGCACAATAGAAGCCTTTCGTGCTTCACCTTTTAAATTACTTTTTGTTGTGATAAATGCAGGCCTTCCAGGTCAACACAGAGCTAAAGTTGCAGAAGTGACCAAATTTGGAAGGGCGGTAAGTGACTTAATTTTGGGATCAGAATCGGTTCCTGGATCACTGCACGTTGTCTGTGTTTAGGAGTTGCATGAAATTGTAGCACACGCGTAATATTTATGTCGAGATGAGTTTCTGCGTCTATATTATATAACATATTATGGTCTGAAAGAAATATTATGGAAGTTAGATCAATTAACTAACTCAACGTTTCTAGCCCGATTCTCTCTCTTGTAAATAAAATAATGAAGATTCCATAAGTCTAGCCCTTAGAACTGTTGGAGATAAAACAATGCTTGACATCTAGAAATTTATTTGCACAACATTTTCAAATGCTGTTCTTAGAGTTATCTTTATTGTGTGTCATTTACAAAATATGTCTGATCTGTTTCCGTATCATTAAACTACTCCTACTCTGAAAATGATGTGATGCAAGCTTTTTCTTCTTTTTTCTTTTTTGCGCTGCAGGCTAAATTGAGGAGCTCGGCTTGGTGGGTACGGTTTTTTCTTCAGACTAGCTTAGAAGAAAATGAAGCTGCCATTAAGAAGTTTCAGCAGGCTGCAACAAAGAGCTCATACCACCCAAATTGCCAAATTTTCCACCTCAAGTCATTCAATTGAGATCATATTTATGCACCATCATTTTAATTGTAATTTTCCAACTCAAGCAATACAATTGATGTCTTCTGCATAATCACTGTCAACATCGTTGTCTATGCATCTAAATCATTTTTTTGCGCGCATTTGTATCAGAGTAATTCAAATTCTTTACGAATGATTTATCCCAAAACAGGAAAAAAAAGAAGCAAATTCCTATAGAAAGTTTTCTGGGGTTGATGCTGTCACCACTGTGTGCAAGATCAAACTAGGCCTTCGCCGTCAATTGATTGATGCAGTCGGTGTTCCGTTGTGTTTGTCACGCCTTGTTTTGGTTTTCCGTTAATGCATGATTATTTTAAGAAAAAAAAAAGGGATCATTTTATGTCCCATCAAGTACAGTTTATGCATCAGCGAGTGAAAAATCTGGGAAACTCATGTCCCAGCTATCGTGTAAAATGCACATCCGGAGAAGCATTGCACGGTGCTCAATTTTATAGTCGCACCATGGCATGTGTTAGTCATGAAAAAACACGAACTTCTGCGTTACAGCAATGAGTGGCCGGTAGGTTGGCAGGAACGTCTAAACTAGGACCCTGTTAGATTAGTAGTTGGCTCATCTCAGCATGCAGTATGAGCATGTTCTATGAATATGAAAAATCATTTCAGAAAAGGTTTCATATTCATCAAGTGCGCGGACGATGGTAAATGAATTATTCAGTCATTTTCAAATCTTCTAGAAGTAGGATAATTAAAATTGGTTGTAGATTTGCAATGAATGTCATAATCTTGTTCTTGATTATTAATGACAGTGATTACAACACTGTCGAAAACTGAATAGTTGCTTGCAATCATTTACTACAGAATTTTGTTGAATCAAGTTCACAATAATGTGGATTTCAGAGCAGTGCTTTCTGAAGTGCGCGCCTGAGGTCCTCCCGCCATTGGTAATAATAGTCTGATAGAGCTATACCCAACTTGAGATTCACAGCCTTGCTTGTTTCACAATAATTGTTCAAGCACCTGGGTCCTTGAACAGGTTAATGGCATAAATTATTAAGGTCCATTTCGATTTCAATTGCAATTTTGCTCCTTTGTGTACTCCATTGTGGGCTATAGCTTGGCAGTTTTCACCAGCTGTGGTCCTTTTAATGGTAAGATGTGAAGAATACGCTCAAAGGAAACTTGACCCCAATTACGACAGCACTCTCCTCTCCTCTATGATTCCAAGTTTTTTGTTCCAAGAATTTGTCCACGACATTACAAGTGCAAGAAACCAATAAACAGAAGATCACTTTCGGTGGTGACTGGACAAGGAATAAGACAATATGCGTGGCCTGGCCCTGCTTTCTTGTTCTTGCAAACTACAAACTGCCAATAATCAAATAGCCGACACCTAAAAATCTTTGACTTTGAGGCGACCCTAGCGTGCCCGTGCGGTAGCAGGATGTCCCCTTGAGTTTGAGTGTATCAGCGAAAGAGCCAAAGTAATGTCTGGCTGGTCTGTGTAGAAACAACCACTGCTAAGACAATTATAATGAGACCTTAGACTTTTATGTGTGCATGTTGGTGTCTTCAAGACAGTCCATGGTTTTTTTCAATGAATGCTTTGAATAGGACCAAATTAGTCAAGTGCGTCAGGGTTCCCTATGCACTTGTGGTAAACATAATCCAATATCAACAGCCAATATTAACTGGTTTGGAAATGAGAAATTGTCAGATGTTAGGACATAGGCAACTGAAAGACAACACAAACCAATTAATATGTGTTTTTAGTAACGTAGTTGAAAGTGCTTCTTCGTAATTTTTTTGTTTTAAAAATAAATTTTAAATTAGTGTTTTTTTATCCACATCTCTAATGTTTCAAAGAAAAAAAAATCCATAAAAATCTCAATGGTGAGATTTTCACATCTTCAAATATATCTCAATTAAAAATCTTCATAGTAAGATAATCTTCATGTCTTAACTGAACTTTCATACATGTCTTCTATATCTCTAAAAAGATAAGAGAACTCTTTAGATTCCTCGACCATTTGTATTTAAAAGAATTAGAAATCCTTTTACAAGTTTCTAAGACCATTTATTTTTAAAGAGATTAATGATTTTTTTTCAAGTCTCTATAATTTCTTATCTCTAAATAAATTAAGAATCATTCTATAAAAAAATTAATAAAATTATGAGAACTCTCATACAGACGTGTTTATAAAGAAGGTAATATCCTTATAAAAAAAATTAAATTTTCTCCTACCACTTTTACTAGTTAAATCTTTCAAATATATCTATTTTAAAGAGAAATGATGGTGCATGATTAAAAAAATATTCTAGCTATTTGGGTATAATTACATTCTAGCCATTTACACCGAGACTTGCCTAAATTCTCTCTCCTCCCCTTACTATTTTCCCTTTACTTCTCAACACATGGGTTGTACAAACCATACTTGTAGGGGTGGAGCAAGAAAATTTTTTTGAAAAGGGCCAATTAAAAAAATTATTTTAAAAAGATTTGTTTTATTAAAATATATATTAAATGAGGGCTAAGAGAGGGGCTGGGGAAATTTTTCTTGCAAGGGCCAGAGCCCCTGCCAGCCCCCCTGCCTCTGCCACTGCATACTTGGACACACACTTAATATATTTTTGAGTTTTGATAAGTGAGGATGCAACGTCTTGTTCTATCCACGTACATATAATTTTATATTTTTTTATTAAATTTATGTAGGGTTAACACCAAAGTTATAGCCAATTATCGTACGTATATGCAAAATATTCTATGTTAAAGAAAACATTTTTTTTTTGTGTTAATGGTTATTTTGTATCAATATATTATTGACAATCACTAATCTCTTCACCAATTAATTGTTGTGCAACCAATATCCCGTGATGAGTTAACATGATCGAAATCTATGAACATCCCGAGTCACTGGATAAATGAAATAAACTCTACAATAATTAACTTTTCCATATATTTTATACACTTATCAACTTAAACATCAGGAAATCCCTCATTCCATGAAAATACTATTTTTTCAAGCGAACTTCCGGTCATTGATCAGCTTAACAACAAGTCCTAGATATAAAACTTACATCTCAAGCCCAGGCCTAGGATCACAAGCTATTGAAAACTCAAATTCAGCATGAAGTTATCTCGCGACTCGATCATGCATGTACCCAATTCATCTATTATGCAAAACCAATCACATTATAGAAATTCATTAGGGTAGCTGATAATAGTAGTAGATCAACTATACACGAATATGAGAGAATTCATTACTTACTAATCTATTTTAAGGGCATGAAAGACAGCATTGCTAGCTCTGATTAATAAAAATGGGCTTAAAAGTATAGTTGATTTAATTGATTATTTTTTTTAGATTAACGTGGGTGTTCGAATTAGCTTGCGTGCACCACGACTAATCCCACGGGCCCTGAAGTTAACGACCATGTAAGCCTCCAATGGCTATCATATGAGCAACCAATGACTCGAACCTAAAATCATAGAGGGAGCAAACTTCTTAATTCCAAGTCTTTATCACTTGGCCACCCCCTAGATGATTTGATTTAATTGATTATTGCATGACGTTGAAAGTGTATTTTGCTGATTTGGAGATGATTGCAGGACATGCATGTTGAACACGGGCCCCCTCCAAACCAAGAACAGGGCCAAAGCCGAAAGCTGAATGGAAAATCGATAATTCTACCAAAAGGGTTTTGAAATTCTTCCCACTTTCCACCATTAATTAATTTAAGATGAGTGAGGGAGGACCTTTACATGAAAAAAACTTACCAATGAAATGGTGAAAGTACCGTAAATTATTATGGGTTATAATAATAAAATTATATTTTTTCCATAAAAAAAAACCTATCGAACTAGTTTATAGGAAGAGATTTGTATTTTTACAGGATTTATTTATCATTTTAGAGTTGCTAAGGAGCATCTCTATCATTTCTTAAATTCCCTTGCGTAGTTGATTTACCTTGACAGTCTTGAACGCAAAGAACCACTACTATAACCTAGGGCACTCTTGATTTTTTTACCTTTTGAAGCAAGATCATGTTTGAGTGTTTTTTTATGATTATTTTTTAAAATATTTTTTATTTTAAAAATATATTAAAATAATATTTTTTTATTTTTTAAAAATTATTTTTAATATTAAAGCATCAAAATGATATTAAAACACTAAAAAATAAATATATCAAATTACTCATGTTCTTTAAAATTAAAATTCTGAATAATTACTCGCAAATCGCAAGGAAAAAGCCATTCACGATTTTATTTGTTCATTTTTCATGATATAAAGTCAAATACTCATTAATTAAGTTGTGCGATCAAGCGTAGAATTCGGCTTACAATTGCGAGCAACCCTTCGTACAGTAAAGGATTCAACACCTGTCTGACTCTGCATTTTGTTCTTTTAGGGCTTGCTGACAAGTGTCCAATCCAAGGACACCATTGTTAACGACCGTTGAAGCTCTCTCACCCAACTCCGTCGCCAGGTATATAATTAAACTCCACGCCAAGGTGGTAAAATATGTATTTTTTACTTTGGTAAACAAAATACAAAATAAGTTTGAACTGTAAAAATATATGGTAAAATTATAAAATTATAATTTTTTATATAATTTTAATAAAAATTTATATATAATTCAAATATTTTAAAATATATGATATATAGTTCAAATAAAAATTCATAAATAATTAAAGTATCTTAAAAAATATATGGTTCAACAATTCAATATCTATACCATGTTTTTATTCCATATCAAGTTTATTATTGGACTTTTTTTTTCTAGATATTATAAATTTAATAATTCAAGAACTAACTCAAATAAGTTTTATAATCAATCCAAATATAATATGATTTTAATTAAAAATTTATTAAAAAGTACTATAATACATGTATTATACATAATATTTTTTTATTTTTAATATTAATATACTAAAATAATTTAAAAATATAAAAAATATTAATTTATAACTTAAAAAAATTAAAAGAAAAAAACTTTTAGAATACCAATTAGGCTAGAAATAGCTTTTGTTTATAACATTAGTGATGAAAGACACTATTGATAGGTGACGTAGGTGAAATTAAAAAAGTTAAGTTAATAAGTAATTAAGGATGAGTTAATCAAGAGAGGTTAATT